TATATATATATATATATATTTAAAGTGAATGGGCAAATTATAATAATAATTTACTAAAAAAGTTAAAAACTGGTTTCAAACCACATGCTATGTTTCTTGTATTATGCCACCAAAATGAAAATATAAGAATCTAAATATATTTTTTTTAAATGCAAGAAATTTTCGCATGTCAAAACAAGAAGTTCAGAAGGATTGTGTTTTTCTGGCACTTTTTGGACCTTGCCCTTCCTCAGAAACCCAGATTAAATCTGGACATGTTCTTTTACACCAGTCATCGTGCGACCAGTTTTCGGATGAAAAAAAAAAAATAGAGTGGACCAACAGTTCATCATAAACAAGTCGACACTGAGAAAATTGTTTTTATTGAATAGGGCTGGAGTGTGTGGCTCTCTCTCTCTCTCTGTCCCCTCCCCGTGGGCAGGGAGAAAGACTTGACCCCGTGATTTACTTCATGCTTCTCTGAAGCTGTTGTACTCCGTCAGTGCCCCCACACACACACACACACACACACACACCCCTGAGAATCTACAGTAGGTGAGTAATACAACGGGCACATTCATTTGGTAAATGGAGACAGACACAGATGGCACCAGCAGGTTGTTTCGAACATTACCTCATAGCAGAGATCATGATAAAGACGTGTTCTTTAGGAAGTGGGTGACGGGGATGTATGTGGGTGAGAATGTGGCATTCTCATGCCGTTTCCTGCTGGATGGCAGATAAACGGTAAACCCAACTGTGAGCCAAATGCAGAAGCGAGATGTGCTGTACCCACGCAGCAGGCACAAAGAGAGAGGAGGGCTGATGAGCTGTGCCAACATGCCTCCGCATGTGGAGGTGTCCTTGAGAAAAGGTGTGTGTGTGTGCATCAACCCATGAGTGTGTGAAAATGTTTTCTATACAGACTTATGCGTCACGGTGTCCTGTGGAGTGGAGGGAGAATCCACAGTTTATGCCAAATGTGACCTCATTTATGGGTCAGGAACAGGTGAGTGGGTGGAGTGGGAATGGACAGGATGTCCCGGGATTGAACTGTCCTCTTGCTCAAATGCCCTTTTTGATCATCTATCTTGAATCATATGAACTTTGCTCTCTTTTGAACTGACTGATGGCTATGGACACCGCTAACAAAAATATGTTCAAAGAACATTTTTGCTAACGTTCTGATTAAAGGATGAAAGCATTCTCAGAACGTTCAAATGTCCATTTTTTAAACGTTAGAATTGTATCATTTTACAAACATTATAGAAATGTTACTTTTGAATGTTCTCTGAACCATTTGAAACTAGTAGTAACGTTTAAAAAAAGCATTAGACTAACGTCCAACTAAACCGTTTCAGAAAAACGTTCCATTAACAATGTATGAATGTTTTTGTGTCTATTAACGATATGTAAAAAAAATATTTTGAGAACGTTCCCCATTCGCTGTGGCCAAATGTGGTCGTCATTCAACCTTTCAAGCTTTCTGCATTCGGTTCAGTCTGTTTTAATTAATCACTTTCTTGCTGGTAAGGTGATTCTCAATGCGGTGTCTGCAGTCTCTCATTTTGTCCTCACCACAGTGAAACTGTGCGGCAAAAAGTGTGGGCAACTCCAAAAAAAAAACAAAAAAAAAAACTGCTGATCTGATTATTTCTTTGCACAGCCAGGAATTAATGCTTTTTTTATAGCCAGGAACAAGAGAGTTTTTCCTTCATGCTTGAGTGCGCACAATAATTGAGACACAGGACCCCTCAGGAAATTCCCCACAAACACTGCTGCTGTCAGTCATTGAGACAGAACCACTATATTTACCTGGATATCCATGGTTATTTTTGAACGAAAAGAGGAAACACTATTGCCCTCTGCCTCCTTTTTCAAACACATTAGGCCATTACAAAACAAGCACTCACCGTCCGTGACATCCGCTGCATTAACTACAAACAACAGAAGTATTCATGATATCTATATTTGCTAAGCATGTGTGGGGAGGCAGTGGGCAAAGCAAAATGTAATTATACATGTAGATCTAAATATAAACACCAAATAAACATGTCAGTCTCCCAGATAGCAATCAAGTTTAAACTAGTTGGAGCTGGTTTATATGGTTGACCATCCACCATGTCTCAAAAACCAACTTTAACATTTTAAAGGGACAGTTCGCCCAAAAATGAAAATTCTGTCATTCCCTCACTCTACACTTTATAAAAAAAAATAAAATAAATAATAATAAAAAAAAAGGTTCTTAATTGGCATCTATGGTTCAATGAAGAACCTTTAACATCCATGGAACCTTGCTTTGCACAAATAGGTTATTTATAGTGGAAATAGGTTATTTAAAATGGTTATTTTAATTAATTTTAATAATTCAATTTTAAATTGTTTACTGAAAGGTTCTTTATGGAACCAAAAATGGTTCTTCTGTGGCATAGATGAAAAAAAGAACCCTTTGGAACCTTTATTTTTAATGATGTAAAGAATATATTTTTATATTTTTGTCGAAAAATTTAATTTAATGAGGAAAAAAACAACACTGGACCCCACTGATTTTCATTGTTGTACACTAAAAAACACTAACATTTTATAATATAATCTTTGGTATCATACAGATTTGAAATGACATAAGAATGTGCAAAATGACTAAATTATCCCTTTAAGATGGCATAAGCAGTTTGTAACTGGTTTACTGATTGTCCACCAACTAAAAACCAGCTATCATGTTTCAAAGAACATCAACACAGCTTAAACTGGATTTCCCAGCAGGGTTGTCTAATAAAGCTGATATGAGATCAGAAATAGCCTTTATAAACAAAGGTGTCAGTTGTAATGTTTTGCGATCCTTGATGGACAGTTAGCAGGGTCCGTGTGGAGAATAACTAGCTCAAATGGGTGATTGTGGTATACAGAGTTGCTCGATTAGTGCATCTCATTAGCTTCAGTCCACTGCATCCCAAATAAAGGAGGATCTCCATAGAAGAAAAGACGGGGGCTTTTTCACACATGCAGAGTGAAAAAGGGACACATGGTGGTCACTGATAATTGGGCCATTTGTTTAAGGGAATTAAATTGACCACTGAATATTACCGACGAGCCTTGATTAGGGCCTCATCTGAGCTGGAGTGACTCTGATAACAAGAGTCATCTACCTCATCTGCCACTGATTGGCTACTCAGATGAACCAAACGAGGAGGGCTAATTACATTATATGGCTCACAAACTGGGAACTAGAATCAGGATTGACAGTCATTTCAAATAAGATGTTATAGCGAATATCTGGTTAGTGTGCTACATTTCTTTATATGATTTCACCTCTATTAAAAAGCTTTAAAATATAGGTTTAATATTCAAACTCCATCTAAATTTAGTGATAAATGACTTTCATAATCTCACCCTTGTCATACATTGAATACGAGGAACCATCTTCAAGCTACATGCTCATGGTGATCAGTGAAAGATACCTCTACAACCCACCCTTAATTTTTTCTCCCTGCGTAAATGTGGTTACTATGATACGACAATGTGTTGCTATGGTCGCGTGGGCATGCGATCATAGGGACGGCAATAAAGAGAGAATTCCTTCATTGAGGAAGAGAGCATATTTTTTAAAACAGTATGTGTGTATATATATATATATATAAATAAATAAATATATAAATAAATATATATATAAATAAATGAATGAATGAATGAATGAATGAATGAATGAATGAATGAACGTTAAGCATCCAGAATCATCATTGCAATCTCATAATATGTAAAACCCATTATGACTTGCTGCATTTCATGCACATATGGCCTAAGCACATAGGCCATATGGCCACATACGGCCTAAATCTGTGTCAGAGTTGGAGAGAGAGACTGTAAAGTGAGTCTATCCTCATGATGAGTGAATGAGTAATGTGTGAGAGACTGTCACCATGAATGAGCCTGCGGGTGAGAGTCTGACTGCTGAGTGTTAACATAGGGTGTTAAAAAACAGCTTCTGTGGCAAAACGAAATGACGCTTCAGGCAGATTTAGCAACATATTGCAAAAATGCAAATCGCACTAACATTCCATTGCTGTACTAGATGACTTCATTCAGTTCATAAAGCACAAAGGCATATATAATGCACGTGGTGTAAAACAACTCTTTTCACAATCTTGCCCTAAATAGCTTGTCACTTGGAATGTGCCCTCAATGGTACACCTTTGTACCTGTATCTACCCTCAATAAGGTGCATATTAGTACCTTAATGATAGATAAAGGTGTACCTTTGAGTGTACTGCAATTTTTGCACATTTTTTCCCAATAATGATCATATACATTGCATTTCCCACCTGACATACAGTACATACATGTCATATATATATATATATATATATATATGACGTTAATAAAGTTTTTTTGCACCAAAAACAGTCAGAATCCATCTTTTCATGACCTTCTCCATCCTCTCTCTGACACTTAGAATGAATTGAATGGCTAACAACAACCACAGCCAAGCATCTGGGGCCCGTTCTTCGTACGTCGCTAACTCAGTTAGCTGGATTTGATTGTTGACGATTTGGCGTGATCTTGGACAGTTTGGTTCTTCGAAGCTCATCCCGGAGTTGCTGTCATAGCAACAGGTTCATAAACTTAAACCTGCTCGGGAGCAGGCTTATTTCATGCAAACAGGATTAGATGGCATCTTTTTAAGCAGAATTGATACTTAAAATCTGTCCGTTACCACCGCTACTTTATTACAAGAGTACCCTACTAATCCAGGGACAATAATTTAAAATAATAAATCATTTAAAAATGAATTTAAAGATAATATAATAATGTTGTGACGTTGCTGTCTTGCCGCCAGCCAATTGCTGCATTGCTGATCGTGGTTTCGAGTATCGATACATAGGCCCTTTTAAGCCAACCCATGAACGCGCAACTATCTCAGATAACTCAATCCAGCCTTACTAATCATCAACAACAGGTGCGTTCGAAGAACCGAATTAGCCAGATCCTGATTAGCGCGATGATATCATCTTGGATGTGACATTTAATTAAACATTTGCTTGCAAAGAGAGGGAGGCAAGAGGATGGATAAAAGCAATAATCGTAACTTTAGCCTAGAGCTAAAAAAAAGGCACTGAAGTACCTTACTTTCTCCCTCTCCTCCATGTGCCTCATTCTCTTCCCCTTTCTAACCATCTCTGCCCACTCTCTTCTCTTCTAATAGTTATGCAATGCTTTATGAAACTTCATATTCACTTGTTTTTCAATTGATTTATTGACCTTGCATTTGCAGTTTTCTAATTTCATACATATATTTTATATAACAAATTACATTTTTATCAGCACACTACAATTTGAGTGAATAGAATGAACTGGCAAATTAAAATAAATATCCAATTACATCTGATTACTCACTCAGAGCCCACAAGATGTTAATGGATTAAAAACATTCACTTGCATTTTAGAAAATACTTTTCTTTCACTTAGAAGAACTTATAAATCCTAGATTTTTAATGTGGACCCCAACAACAAATACACAACTACAGATGAAAAGGACAAAGAACAAACCTGGGCACTCCAAATATTGTTACAAAGACTATAGTTGCACTACACACTGACACTGCGTTCAGATCGAAGTGCACAGAGATGGGCAAAGACGCACACGGAATCATTGATGGCTACTATCAAAGGCAGACCTGAATGGCAAAGATGGATAATGGATCTCTTATGGCCACTAAGAGCGGCATTATTTTAAGACAAATTGCAGGATGTGCAGTTAAAAGGATATCTTTCTTACATGTGTGAGGTTGGTTTAGATCAGAAGCTCATGGAGGCGTTTTGTAATGCAGTGCCTTTGGCTTAATATGAAATGAGATGGGAGAATAGAGAGCGAGCGACAGACTGAAAGGGGAAAAAAATCTGCTGCTTGAGGTCACACATCTACGTCACGTCACCATGGCAACCTTGCATCAGCAACAACTTACGAAGGGAGAGAGAGAGGGAGCGAAAAAGGAGGGTGAGAGCACAATGTGCTGGCATGTAGCGCTGGAATTGAGTAGCAAGCTTAAACAGCAAGAGGGAAAAAAGACCTTATGGAATTATAGAATGCTTTTGCTTGGACTATAAATAGATCGGTGGAAATTTTCCTTAACCAAAAAAGAACTGTGATTTAAAGGGCAAGACCTCTGCAAAATTACAGCAAGTGCTGACATCTGTCAATGGAAAAAGTAATGAATTAGTAGTCACCATTCACAGAAACCCAAAGAGAGATAGAAATACTTCAACAAAAGTCCACATTTTCGCACTGTTCTGAGCCCTGGGTCTAAAAATACACTGCACAAGAAAAGAAAAGAAAAAAAAACACCATGCTGCAGGCTGGGGAAGTATCTCTGACAGAAATGGGGAAGGGAGGGAGGTAGTGTGTGGGTGTCTGAGTGTTACATCTGCTCACTCACAACAGTTTATATGAATCTAGCAGTGCACACAGCTGAACAATGCATTAGATAATTTATTATACTTTAATGTAGATTATTTAAATGCCACGACAGGTGCAACTTCATCGGCCTGTCAGTATGCTATGGATATCACAAATATACCCACACATTGGCATGATGTGCTGGCCTCTCTTAACTTTAAAGGCAACCCCATACCCTACTCTTTACCTCTGTTTCTCTTATCGGTTTCATAGACAGCTTCAATCCTTCCTCTTCCTCTGGCTTCAGCAGGAGTGGGAGGTGTTGCTAGGTGACAGGTTAGCTCCTTTCTTTCAAGAGGCAGAGTGAAGACCTTGATTCTCTCTGTGTAAAAATAAACAGCAATGCAGAGAGAAAGAATCTTGAGATAGAGGACAAGCATACTTCAGCAGCACAAGAGGCCAATGACATTTAGTTTCTCATTGAAGTATTTTGTTGCAGCTCTTACTTTCGGTGCAGTTTGATTGCACTTACAAAACTCTTTGATGGAAAAGCAGAATTAAACTTGTACAGATGACTTTAGAATTACCTCAAATGAGTCCAAACATAATAAATATGTATTTTAATGCATGGCATGATGGGTAATTTAAAAATGCATTATTTTTACCTTAATGTTTTTATCTCTAAATTGCGTTCACACAAGTCTCATCTTGGGTTGAAAAGACTTTCACATTCTTAAGAATGAAATTCACATTCTTAAAAAAAAAAAAAAAAGGAAACTTCTCCACTTCCTACATGGTTATTTTTGTCCACTGTGTGTAAAATCAGAGGAGGCTTCAGGTGGGCACAATCAACTCAGTCGTGCTCTCTGGGCCCAGGCTAAATTACATCTTCCTGTTCCCAGGGACATCTTGCTAACAGAGGGATGTCATACTGGGCATTATCCATTTACTCGCATCCGGAAGGCACTAAACTATTATTTTTTACCCTTAGATACACAGAAAATATTGATTGTAATATAACGACCAAAAGCTTTTGAAGACATTTTGGAAAGATGTTACATAGGTCTGACAGCAACTATTATAGAACATCCACTCAGAATCCTTTCTCACCTTTTAACTTATGCGGGTGATTTTGAATTACGAAGGAAATGCAGTTAAAGACATATTTCACCAAAAAGAAATGTACTCACTCTCAGGCCATCCAATAAGTAGATGAGTTTGTTTCTTCATTGGAACGGATTTGGAGAAATTCAGCATTACATCACTTGCTCTCCAAATGAAAGTTTCGATGAAACTTTTACATGTGCATTTGAATCCACTTTATGCATTGTATCCTAACAATAGGTGACCACCCATTTAATTGATCAGAATTTGCACTCAGTGGTGCTCATTGACTAAAGCCAATTTACCAGAAATGGGTGCTTAAGGAAACCACCTCAATAACAATGGTGTTCCATATTGTACTGTCTCTGCTTTGAAGATATCAAACAGCAGAGGCAATTCATACAAACTATACCTTGAGAAAGCCACACAGAAAGCCTTGCACGCTTCAGTGTTTCTGAATCACACTGTGGGCTTGCTAAACAGAAAAACACACCAACTATTTTAAGAGGTGAAATTTGTTAACGGGTGGCCACTGCACAGTTTAATCACGGATGGTGCACTGCGATTACAAAGTATCAGTAGGGATCAGCCTGATCTATAATCAGCATCAGCTAATGCATGATTCTGCCACTGAATATGAGTGCATCCTAATTAGTCTAGCAACTACAAGATGCCTTTTCTATCACATCAAAGGGAACTAAATGTAAAACTTTAATTCAATGAATCTTGCATTGAATTCAGACTTAGTCAACAGTTAATAGTTTAGAGCTGACCAAACAGGTCATTAACTCTGATAATGAGATGCTGAAGGCAAATTAAGGGCCCTGTGTACAGCAACACCCTTGGGATTATTTTGCGTTCATTGTGTCTTCCTGTTTGATTTTCCCTCTACAATCACATTTGCACAAATCCTGTATAAATGTGATCAGAACTTATTGAAAACATCTCTAATGTAAAGTCTGCTGAAAATAACATCTTAAACCAGTGTAAACCAGTATGCTGGTCTCCCATCCTGGTCAAGCTGGTCTGTTTCCTAGTTTAAGACGGGATTTGGGCTGGAAGAACAGCTAGTCTATCCTGAGACCAACAAAAACCAACAAACCATTTTAGGCTCGTTTAAGGGATAGCCTATCACGGATCGGATCAGGGGTGGCGCCAGAGAATTTTGAACGCAGGTGCTGAGGGGGTGCTAGATCATTGACAGGGGGAGCTGGGCAATTAATAAATATGATCAAATGTTGTTGTTATTATTATTAATAATAATAAATAAATTAGCCTAAACCACCCACTCGATTTTGTAATATTGTATTACCTGATTATTTGGCTCATCACAATTTAATTACATTTTTTCGTTTTATGAAATTAAACAAGTAGCCTTTAGATCAGTCAGTTCCCAAATATTTTTTATACAGTCCACCTAAAATTCACTGAACTAGCATTTCGGAATGTGAGAAAAAGGCAATATGACATCAAAAAGCACTGGGCATATATTTACTTGGTATTCACAGTCTCAAACCAGAGCCTTCGCTCTCTGTGTATTGATGGCCAAATGTGCCAAGCTGCTGTTTCAGGCATCGCCACAGCTGCTTCTCAGATATATTGTAGGAGACAGGACAAAGATCTCTCACATGATCTCTGGTGGAAAGGAGTAGGGCTGCTATATGGCGGTTCACTCTGACGTTAATTTAGATTAATATTCGCTATAGATGTGCATATCAAGTGTTTATGAGAAGTGTGGGAGTATTATTGCGCTTACTGCATGACATGGAGGCGCCCGCGCAATCGCTTGAATTTTTTCCTGCGGAAAGAACTTAGAATAGGTAACTCCATTTTTGGTCATAAGAGTAACCTAATAGGCCCGGGCACATTCATAATCATTAATTTTGCCGGTGCTTTGTGGCAGGCTTTATGCGCGCGCTTGAGCACAGACTATAGGCTACACGCCTATATGCCTAAAGGATGGTTTAGTAGGTTATCATATTAATCAATTTAATATAAACGTGCGACTAGTTGACTAGAGAAATCGTTAGTCGGGGGCATGCAGGCCTACTTGGCACAAGGAACCGATCCATTTTTAAAATAAAATTCTATGACATTATGGAAAGTGCGACTGCAAATCACGTCACGCTGCATTGCACGAGTTATGCATGCGTTATGAGTCAAATGCTTTTATTTCATTTGGTGTAGACAGCATCACTGATTATAATGAGTTCTATAGTATTTTGTCACGCTGCGCCACTCGCGTCCGGTGTACACCCGGTGTAACACTGGTTTTGCTTTTATTTCACAGAACTAATCGTTGCCTGGGTTGCGTACGTATGTGTGGGGCGGAGCTATCAAAATAGGGGCGAGACCCTTTTGGGCTAGGGGCGTGTTTGTTTTGTTGATTTCAAATGTCAACATTGGCAATTTAGATTAATATGCGCTATAGATGTGCATATCAAGTGTTTATGAGAAGTGTGGGAGTATTATTGCGCTTACTGCATGACATGGAGGCGCCCGCGCAATCGCTTGAATTTTTTCCTGCGGAAAGAACTTAGAATAGGTAACTCCATTTTTGGTCATAAGAGTAACCTAATAGGCTACATCATTCGTAAAAAAAACAAAACAAAAAAAAACTATTTCTGCTTTTATTTATGTACACTCACAATAACACCAAAATGTTGAACTTTTGTAAAATAGAGAAAATAAACAATGCTTTCTGCCAGTCTCCGTGAAATGAAGCGCGTCACAACAATGAACCGCCTACTTGCCTGCTATTAAAGGCACGTCTTGTGGAGATGGCGAGTCAGCGAGCGTCGGCATTCGGTAACTTCATCTTTGCAGCTGACACTGACTGAGAAAGTTCTAGTTTATTAAATAACCAAAATGTTGAGCTTTAGTAAAATAGAGAAAAATAAACAGGATGCGCTTTCTGCCAGTCTCCCTGAAATGGAGCCCGTCACAACAATGAACCGCCTACTTGCCTCACAAAAAAAATAAATCTATGAAAAAAAATATATCTTGAAATGTCTACTATTGAACGAACCAATTAAAAAAAAAAAAATAAATAAAAAAAAATTCTCTCTCTTTATTTATTCCTTCTCTTTCTATGCATGCGTTATGAGTCAAATGCTTTTATTTTATTTCATTTTTTGGAGGTGCTATATGGTCTTTTTTTGGGGGTGCTGAAGCACCCGCTAGCCCCTCCCTAGCGCCGCCCATTTCACGGATATATCATATAACCCACTGACAATTCATATTCGACACCCAATTACTCCTACTCAAATATCTATTTTTGACCACGAAACACAAATGTGTGATTAAAAAGACTAAATGTGTCAATCTTTTTGAGTGCGTTTGTCAGACACCAGCCATGGGCTATTTTTTAGAAAACGCTTACCGATCAATTCACGCGCGCAACAGGTTTCAGAGACATGCGCGTGCCTCTGAGACAGACCGGTGAATGAGTGACGAACACGTTTAAATTCCGTCTAAATTAACATGTTAATGAAAATTAAACAGATATTCCTCTCCAGATGTGTATTTGATCGCTGCTGGTCAATTATCATGAATGAAAATGAAACGCGTGATTTATTGCATCGTTGAATGACCTCAGCAAGCCACAACGATAACACTATGATAACTTTCCAAAAAGCACTGGAGTTTCTGCATGTTGCTAAAAATAGCTCACCTTCACTAAACAGGCTACTTCGCTTCCTCTTCAGAAAACGAAGACTCGAATGACAGAACCCAGCGAGGGCTGGAGTCTCTCTGCACGAGACTTCTATCTGTAACACCCGGCCGGCTTGTCGGACATTATGGATGGAACAAACTGTCCAGAGAAAACGCAAAGAGGCGTCAGTAGAGCTTGTGATATGAGCAATTGTTTGACAGGTGTTTTAGGTTAATTAGGGGAGACCAGGGAGTGGTTTCAAGTTTAACACCAGTTTAACCAATTCAATGAGCTACATGGGTGAAATCACACATAGCCACCACCCAGAGGTGCAGTAGTTTAAAGCAAAATTTCATATGTGGTTGATAATTTGATTTGTGATCATAATTGACATTAGATGACAGAGAAATTGGACCGTGCAGACAACATTTGAGAGTTTTTAAGAGTCGTTAACCTATATTTTATGCATTGCTTTCAAATTTATTTGCGTTTTTTAACATATATAAGGTTTTTTTATGTGCTTACCATGTTGAATTAAAATGTATAAAATAAAATGGAGGCGATAAAATAATTATTTTAACAAGTTATCACATTATACTTTTGTAATTTGCAATGTATTATGTAATGCAGTTTAAACAAAATATATAACACTTCCCGATTACAGTGGGTATTTTGAGAGATAAGAATCACTCATGAACAAAATCCATTCAGTGAATTAGGCATGTTGGATAACCCTACCTGATGTCCATTTAATTCTTAAACTTATTGTCTCATTCAGACTGCCCTCGTCAGGAGCATCTCAAGCTCATAATGAAGCTACCAATTACGTGTCCCCTATTACATATTGCGCTGATAGATTCTGAGTGAGCCATTGGCTCTTCCCCACAATGTCGCCTTACGCACACAAACTCATAAGACATAACGAAGTGCTGCTGTCCTTGTCTATGCTCGCCCAATGTTCCCCTTATAAGGACAGAGAGAAAGCATTTAATAATAATTAGGCAGAGATTTCTGTGTTCTCGGTTACCCCATGCACTGCTGCATTTAAAGTCATCATAAGCGCAGCGCATTGTCCCGCATGCTGTCAGAGCTACAACAATCTGCCATTTTGTGAATGTATATCCCTTAAAGGATTCATTCCGTGATCACGCAGCTTGTCAGATGTGGAAACGGATGCAAATAACGCAGCGATGCGTGAAATTACAGCACTAATGTCAAGGATTGCATCCGTGCTTCCATGCAAACCCTTTCTGCATCCATGAACATTCTGTGCAAGACATTGGAATAGCCTACAACACAAAGATCATTTTCTGAATCATATCTGAGCTCGGTCGGTTGGAGGTAATCAGCACTGCCACACAAGAGGATTCGGGGAGAGTGGTCCTCTATCTAGTTCGTATGCAACTCAGAAACAGAGCCCCCCTTCTCTGTACACGTCTATACACCGAAGTGCGGTGACTCCGTCTACGTTTCACTCTCTGTCCCCGCCCATTGCTCGGTTTTGTCCAAATCGGGCTTTTTGCGTCGCCGGAGCTCCCGATTTCAAACCAACGTCATCAACGGAGAGAGGGGATGCTGACGTCGGAGCAGAGTCAGAGCGCACGGGTTGGGAGGGGTGAGACGAGTGAGATGCAGCATTGCTTACACTGATATGAGACGTATAAATCCCCCCCGGCCCCCCTTTTACTCCATCCCCCTCCCCTGCGCTCTTTTTTACGTCGGTGTTGGCGCGTTGGCAGCCCCCCTACACTGGTGAAACCTCAGCCTATATAAGTTACCGGCTTGCAATGTTACTCCACCAGATTTACGGACTCCGAATATCTGGGCGAGAGACGGCTTCAGCAGCAGCCGACTGACTCAATCTCCGCAACCTGAGCCAGGCGCTGTGGCGGAACCGCGGGGGGAAACCCGGGACAGGCAGGCGAAAGGAGAAGAGCAGCCGTACTCTGGACATGTGCTGAGATGACACACCTGTGAACCGCCTAAACTCTTTTGGGAAGGAGACTCACACTTTTCTCAACTTGCACCGTAGTCTACACTTTCAGCGAAGCTCAGTAAGAGTCCTCAGCGTCAGTCACCACAATGTATCGGTCCACAAAAGGAGCGTCGAAAGCTCGAAGAGACCAGATAAACGCGGAGATTAGGAACCTGAAGGACTTGTTGCCCATCTCCGATGCGGACAAGTCTCGTCTCTCCTATCTTCATATCATGTCGCTGGCTTGCATGTACACGAGAAAGTCTGTCTTCTTCAGTCAAGGTAAATATAATTTCAGTTGTTTTGGAAAAATAATCGAATAAAAGTATTTTATGCAATCCTTAAAGCTTCATAGATCTGAATTATTGTTGAGGAATTGCTGCATGTTACGCTCTTGTTGCCGCGAGTTGATGCAACAGGTGCATCTTTAATTTTTTAACACTCTCTGAGCTGCTTATGCGTATAAAAATACGAATAGAGAACTATGTTTAAGACACAAAAGAACATGTAGTTCAAACAGCGACATTTCTCTCCATGGTGCTGAAACACAAACGCTGTCCATGGTGCTGAAACTAAAATCGTGCTATCGCATTTGTGGATTTTCATTTCTTTCACTTTTCTTATGAATGAAATGCAATAGTTTATTCAGACTTAAAATTACTTCTTTCAGATACAGCTGCAGCTAGCAGTGCTGAGGAAACCGCGGAATTCCTCACATTTCATGAACTGAATGAGTTGGAACAAATGATGCCAGGTTTTCTTCTGCTATTGTCTGGAGAAGGAAAGTTACTGTACCTGTCAGACAGCGTCTCTGAGCACCTCGGACACTCAATGGTGAGTGAAGCAGACAAAAAAGTTATTCTCATTAAATCTTTATAGACTTCCTCTCCCTTTCATCTCAAGTTATTTCAGCCTATTCATAAGCATTATGAATGAAAGAGGAAGTTCACCCACAGTGTATTCTTTTTTGAATATTTAGGTAGATTTGGTCGCTCAAGGGGACAGTGTGTATGACATAATAGACACTGTAGACCACTTTATTATGAGGAGTAACTTGGTGCCTCCAACTTCACCTGACACAGGTAAGATCTTAAAAAAATGCCACACAGATACAGGAGAATACGTATGAGATATCTATGTGCTCATTATTTTCGTGCCTTTCCTCCTTAGATCGTCTGTTCCGCTGCAGATTCAACACCTCCAAATCAGTGCGTAGGCAGAGCGCAGGCAATAAGCTTGTTTTAATCCGAGCCCGCTGCCTGTCACAAACTCCCAATGAGTCTTCCCAAGGATCCTATTGGACTTCCAACCCAGTGTGGATATGTTTCTGTGCTCCTCTGGAGCCTCACACTTCCCGAGGTGGAACTGCCCCAGACAGAGAACCACCTTCAGCTCCAGCACTAGAGAGCAGCTTCTTCCTGCCATGTTTCCGTTCTCAGCACAGCCGTGACATGAGACTTCAGGAAGCGCAAGACAGGTGAGGTTAAATGCCTTACGTCATTTTATAAAACTGTTATATAATAATAATAATGTGCTTTGAAAAAATAAGAATTTTCTTACATTTTTCCTTTTTTTTTTCAACTTGCAGTGTGAATGTTTATTTGGGTCTAAATGTGGAGACTCTGCGGTCCCAATCTTGGTACAGCTTCCTGCATCCTCAGGATCTTTCACATGCCTCAGCTCAGCACTGCAGCCTATGTGAGTCTCACTCCTGAATGACTAAACACACAAAACTCAGCCTCATTTGCTTGGTTAGGTCTTCTAGCTCACAGTTGCCTATAAACATTCGACACTTACAGAGAGCAATACAGAGTAATGGGCATCTGTAGTAAAAAAGCACTTCTGACCACCCACTAAGACATGACACAAAACCTCACAAGAAGTTGAAAATGTTTTAACTTACCCATCTTTTTACCACACAGTGAAAGAGGGAGGAGAGGGCAGGGCTGAGATGGTGGTTCGTGTAGAGACTGCAGATCACTCATGGGTCTGGCTTTACATGGTCTTGCAGCTGGAAACTGGGGAAACCCCTATTGTCAGTAACAATTACATCATCAGGTAAGGCTCAGCCTACATCTGTAAAGTCAAGACTAACGCCTAAAACTGAAATAAGTAAGAATATCATTAATTCTGTGTCTCTTTCTCTTTGCCACAGTGAGACAGAGGCTTGGTCAGTCAGGCAGCAGCTGAGCTCTGAACAAACCCAGCTCTCCTTGGTGCTGGGCTCAAGCACTTCCCAACAAGAAAGCCTAAGCTTACAGAGTCCAGAAACACTCTCAAGCCCTGACCAAGTGTTTACACCAGGAAGCAGTGGCCTCTCTGGTCAGTCATTTGACTTCAGCACGGCCACATGCAGTGCAGGATCTACTGAGGAACAAGGTGGCAGCTCCTCAATGGAGCCTGCACAACTGGAGAGTGGCCCACGTTCCAGTCTCTCCTCCTTGGAAGAGGAGAGCTTCTTCCAACATGAGCCCAGTGAAACTGTGGCCAGTCCTTCTTCTGCATCATCTCCCATTCCAGTCACGGTTGCAACAGTGTCTGACTTGGACTTCCTCACTCAGAATATTCTGCTGCCACCGGCATTCCAGATAGACCCTCCTCTACCAGCCTTGCCACTTCCTCTTCCACCTGTGCCTAGCTCTCAGGCCCAACAGCCCAAGGAGTTTGAGTGCACACCCCCATACACACCTCAACTAGGTGGAAGCAATTTTCCCTTTGGGGAACCTCATTTTAGCTTCGATCCTACCGGGGCTACCTCACCACCTCCCCTTGCTCCAAGTGCAACAGTAACAACGACGATGGCTCCATCTCTTTCTCCATCTGCGCCATCAAACCCACAAGGCAGCCCACCTCCTCCAACGACAACACTCTCAACTATTTTGCCTCTCACTATAACATCTCCAACCACAGAGATCCTCTTCCCAGTGGAGCCTTGCAGTGGGTCGCTCTATGAGAAACTCCCTCCTACTCCTGACAGTCCAGGTGATGGTGACTGCACGGTTATGACTTTACCAGAAGTCCATGGTCCACTGTATGTTGACGTCCCCCATGGGCCACTACCTTACCCACCAGAAGGTCTCCTCACACCTGAAGCCTCACCTGGAAAACAACCCAGTCTACCCTTCTTCTCCTCACTACGTGAGAGAGAAAAAGAGAGAACGGAGATCTCGCTTTTAGCCCAGCACATCAGCACACTAGTAGAGGGCTTCTACCTAGATCCACTCCTGACCAAGCTGGT